GGAACACCCACCTAGGAATAAATGAAGGAATCAACTAGATGACGTGGGTCCTTCATCCCATGTGTATAGATCTAGCAAGATCTTTGGGACCAATCATGGGAGAGGTTTTTAAGGATGCAATTAATACTCTTCATGAGCATACGACAAGCGAGTCATAGACGTTCAATGCTTGGGGGCCAAGGATAGGGAGGACATTGATCCCTCGACTCACTATGTGATGTCAAACATTTACTTACACAAAGTGTGTTGCTTAATGTCAAATCTCGCAGTGAATGTTAGACACGAGTATTGATGATCAACAAGTATTCAGATGCTGACGGGTTAATGTCACTAATGCATCTGATTGGCATGCCTACAAGGGATCAAATACGAGGTCAAAGAGGCGCCTTACTCGATGCCCACCCATCAAACGAGGTCAAAGAGACATCCATTGTGAGTCAATCAAGAGCCCTCCCACCAAAGAGGATCGTATGGATGTCCTCAACAAGTACACTCGTCCACCAAGAAAGTATAAACAACACTCTTAAGCAATAATATAAGGTACGCTCTCACAACCCTGCATTGAACATTGTGTCTTCTTCTCTCCTCCAAGACTGACTTAAGCATCGATGGAGACACCTTCGGCCTCCCTTCTAACCCTTTTTCGTGATCCTTAGGTTTTCCTCATCCTCAAGCTCAAGAATAACCTTCGAGTGTCAGTAAAAGTGCCACTATCTCAATATTGTGCAAGAAATTACCTGCACATCCCTTAAGGGTTGCCTCCCTTTTTTTATTTTTCAATCTCCAGAGGGTGTCTTTTTTTTTGGTTGTCTTCTTCCTTTCTCTGGTTCGTAGATGACTATGATGAGGTTTTTGAGTTGGGTTTTGTGGGCTTATAAAGGGATAACAAATCTAATTTTTTTGGTAGTATTTCGACAGAAGATGGGTTGATTATATGAAGCTAATGACAATGGAGACAACCACAATGGTTGACGACGATATGGGTGAACATCAACAACATCAATAGTGATGAATAAAATGGTGCCTTAAGCTCAAGCAATCACACTCAAGAACACCAGCAAAATCAAACTCAAAAAATCTGTCAAAAAATCATGGTCCCGACTGTGATCTATGAAAAAAGGAAGACACAAAGCATTAATAGAAAAATAATGTGGATAATATATACTCATGAATTTGAATTTTAAAATTTATGAAAAAAATCTTATGAGCAGATCTTCACTAAACGTGAATTAAGGGGTAACTGTTTTCCAGTTAGAAAATTGATTTAACGTTGAAGACTGCTTTCAATGTATTTGGAAAGACATTTTCGACTTATTAAAAAAAATTTGACTTAAAACTACTTACTAAAAAGATAATAATAGGGTTTAACACCACATATGTTTAAGTGATAGAGTTAACTCATTACAAGTTCCTTAAAGAGGCCTAACCCCTAATTATATCACAAAAAAAGTATATATATATATAATAAAATACAATATAATTCATATATTAAAAGATAAACAAAATGACTTTTACTTTTCGCAGTTGATGTCTTTTTAAATTTTTAATTTAAAGTTAATCTGACAGTTAATATTAACACCCCAAATTTAATAGGAAAAATAGGCTCCTAAGAGTGTGTTTGAGATGATTTTTTAAAAGTACTTTTAAAACTTATAAATTCTCATAAGTACTTTAAAAAAAAAAAATAAGTAGTGTTTTGAACCTCTCCATCACAACCACTACCACCACCACCACCATCGTTGTCGCCACCCTACCACCCCCACCCACCATCACCGTCGTCACCCACCACCACCTTTACCACAAAAATCACCTTTGTCGCCGCCACCCTTCATCGGTTGTTACCACCGTCATCCACTGCCACCACCCACCACTATCGTCATCCAATTTTTATATTTATTAGACTACCACCATTATCCCATTGCCATCGTCAGCACCCACCACCACCACCCGTCTTCACCCACCATTACGGCCAGCCACTGTTACCCACCCCCATCACACCTACCACCACCACCACTTGTCATCGCCTACCACTACCACTACCACCACCCACTATCTCCCACCACCACCACCACCATCACCGTCACCTATAGTTGTCACTACCACCATCACCACGATCGTTGTCATCCACTATAATCATCACCGTCTCCTACTACCACTGCTCACTCCCGCTAGACCCAATGCTTAAATTCGTTTCTTTTCTTTTATATTTGTGATTTGATTTTAACATGAATATAAATATATTTATTATTAGCCATTTTTTTTTATTACTCTTTACCTTTAGGCACAAACAATAACTACTAATTTTATACATGAGGATCCAAGGTTACCTTAGTGGGCTTGTTGTGTAGCACATTGCTTTCTTCGGCCTGTCAAGCTACTCAAACTACGCCAACCACCACTTGATTTAAAAGTTGGGCCCCGGCTCCCTGTCCTCTCTCTCTCACACATAAACTCAGAGAGTCAGACACATATACACAGGAGAAAGGAAATCAATATCTCTTACCGAATTTTGTATCAATTTATTCTTAGCAAACTATGGTGACATTTTTTGAATGAGAATAGCTTCCAGAATATGAAGTTTCTAGAAATCTATCGCAGTATGTCTGCCATATGCAATTAAATGGAAAATACATCCTCAACATTTCTATCACTCTGCTACAACCTATTGGTGAATTTCATTGAATCTCAACAATCATTCAATGATTCATACAATATCCATTAGTTATTTCAATTATGTTATAGAAACCACATTTTTTGATATCTGACATTCCTAGATGCCACAGTAACAAAAGTCTTGTACATTTATCTTCGTTCTTATTTTCGTTCTGTTCTTTGCACTTGCAGAAACGAGAATTGAGGTGACTTGCTCAATAACTTAATTCCATTTAAGGTTGGTTGGGTCATGGGTGAGTGCCCAATCTGCCTTATTCTCGAAAGGGGGGCATCCACCCGAGACCGTAACCGAAAAGATAGGACCACGAACGGAGTAACTTATGCTTCTTTCTTCTTCATGAACTGATATGAATAAATCGTCAAAGAATTCGGTAACATCATTGCTACATAAATGCTAATAACAAAAAGACTACCACAATAAAATTCCATAACTAAATTTATCAGTATATAATCAAGTGAATGGCCATTTACAAATTTACATGCACGCGCACCCGCACCCGCACCCGCAGAGAGAGAGATGGAATATCGCCTCTCCAAGAAGCTTTATAAAGTAATACATTAAGAGACATTATAGCCACGAAATTGTTACATTTTGAACTGAGCTACCCCCACAACAGAAATTTATTGCAGCTACATATTCCAAAAGGACTTCCCACTTTATTACGGCAGTAAAATTTTGTGTAAAACTAAAAACAGAAAGGAAATTGAGGACAAGCTTAAAGTAAAAGCCGCTAAAGGTAATCCTTTTGTGGTCACTTCTGCATCATCTTCAAGGACACAAGCTGTTCCTCCCTGCAGAAATAGTAGGAAATCAAAAAACTACCAACAATGTGTACATGGAAAATTGGCAGATATAAATATCCATTAACTGGTCCCCAGGAACCAGCCAGGACCCATAGCTAGCCGAGTGTACGAGACTTCCCCCACTAGGAGTCGAGAGGAGGGTCAGATGTTCAAAGCCTAATCACCGCATATGGGAGGCTATTTCCGCGAGTCTAGCTCTTGACACCTTAAAGGTCCACCCTCTACCGAATTCTTATCAATGTGCCATGCCTTACACTCTACTAAACTCTGAAAACATTTCTTCCACACTACCAAATTCTTTTATTTTTATCAGCACCCACCATCACCCATCGTCGTCCACCATTACCACCAGCCACTATCACCCATCCCCATCACACCTACCACCACCACCTGTCATCACCCACCACTACCATCACCCACTCCCACCACTACCAATCATCATCACCATCGCCCACCACCACCACAACTATCGCCGTCACTTATGGTTGTCACTACCATCATCACCACGATCATTGTCATTCACTGTAACCATCACCGTCTCTCACCACTACTACTACTCACCACTACCACTACCACTACCACTACCACTACTCACTCCCACTATACGCAATGCTTAAATTCATTTTTTTTTTCCTATGTTTATGATTTGATTTTGAGCGTGAATATAAATATATTTATTATTAACTTGTGATTTAATACATAAGGATGCAAGCTTACCTTAGTGGGCTTGTTATGTAGCAAATTTCTTCTTCGGCCTGTCAAGCTACTCAAACTACGCCAACCACCACTTGATTTAAAAGTTGGGCCCGGCCGCCTCTCTCTCTCTCACAAAAACTCACAGAGTCGCACACATATACACAGGAGAAAGGAAGTTAATATCTCTTACCGAATTTTGTATCAATTTATTCTTAGCAAACTATGGTGACATGTTTTGAATGAGAATAGCTTCCAGAATATGAAGTTTCTAGAAATCTATCGCAGTATGTCTGCCATAAGCAATTAAATGGAAAATACATCCTCAACTTTTCTATCACTCTACTAAAACCTATTGCTGAATTTCATTGAATTTCAACAATCATTCAATGATTCGTACAATATCCATTAGTAATTTCAATTATGTTACGGAAACCACATTTGTTGATATCTGACATTCCTAGATGCCACAGTAACAAAAGTTTCATACATCTATCTTCGTTCTGTTATTTGCACTTGCCAGGGTTAAAGTGACTAGCTCAGTACCTTAATTCTAAGGTTGGGTCATGGGTGAGTGTCCAATCCGCCTTATTCTCGGAAAGGGGGCATCCACCCGAGACCGTAACCGAAAAGATAGGACCACAAACGGAGTAACTTATGCTTCTTTCTTCTTCATGAACTGATATGAATAAATCGTCAAAGAATTCGGTAACATCATTGTTACTTAAATGCTAACAACAAAAAGACTGCCACAGTAAAATTCCATAACCAAATTTACCGGTACCTAATCAAGTGAATGGCCATTTACATACACACGTACCCGCACCCACAGAGAGAGAGAGAGAGAGAGAGAGAGAGATTGGAATATCACCTCTCCTAGAAGCTTTATAAACTAATACATTAGGAGACATTTTATAGCCACAAAATTGTTAAATTTTGAACTAAGCTACCCCCACAACTGAAATTTATTGCAGCTACATATTCCAAAACGACTTCCCACTTTATTACGGCAGTAAAATTTTATGTAAAACTAAAAACAGAAAGGAAATTGAGGACAAGCTTAAAGTAAAAGCCTATAGGTAATCCTTTTGTGGTCACATCTGCATCATCTTCAAGGATACACGCTGGTCCTCCCTGCGGAAATAGAGGGAAATCAAATAACTACCAACAATGTACATGGAAAACTGGCAGATATAAATATCCATTAACTAGTCCCCTAGAACCAGCAGGACCCATAGCTAGCCGAGTGTACGAGACTTCCCCCACTAGGAGTCGAGGGGAGGGTCCGATCTTCAAAAGCCTAATCACCGCATATGGGAGGCTATTTCCGCGAGTCTAGCTGCTTTTGACACCTTAAGCTAAGGTCCACCCTCTACCAAATTCTTATCACCGTGCCACGGCTTACACTCTACCAAACTCTGAAAACATCTTCCACACTACTAAATTCTTTTATTTTTTTGCTTCTCTATATGTTATGAAAAGGTATGCAGACAGCAAAGTTGCACAGGAAAATTGGTAACTACAGAGAATAGACACACACAACATTGTTCAGATCGGGTACTTACTCAATTCACCAAAATACCATTGCCTTCAAGACAGTTAAAATGTAATATGGATAATTGGATACCTTCATTAAAGCTCGTCTTTCTTCGGTTCTTGCTGGGCAGTATTGTCCCGATTCTTCTGAATAAAATCAATGATGTCTTCCTTGGTCCTGTCCCCCTCATACTGCAACAGATTTCCGCTTGCTGACTTGAAGTACACAGTTGGATAACCTTTGACGTCAAAGGCTTCATTTGTAATATCATTCGCCGTAGCATCCTTGAAAGTAGAAGAAAGGGACTAGATTAAAAAATGTACAGGGATAGTAAAAGAAAACGATCAATATCTAAACTGATGAAGTTAAGAATAATAATAAATGCTAAGGTTCCATGTGAATATTGTTGTGAGCATGCAATAAAACAATGACTTCTCCCAAAATATTCACAGAATAAGTTTTCAATCACCCCCCCCCCCCCTTCTTTTTTTTTCTTTTATCTCTTCCCCTCTCAATGTCCATTATGCTCATTTATTTTGTTGAGAACAAAAGAAGTTGCCCCTTTTATTTGAGACAACAACCACACCAAATTAATGGTGTTAGTGCTTCACCAAGGTCGATCATAGTCATGGCTACATGAGCAACTAGCATGACAAATGCATTGCAGGATTGGATAACAGATCTTACAATCTTTGCAATCAAGACATCACCATCATTTTCGAAAGAAACAGCAACTTCATCCAAAATTGGAGCCAACTTCTTGCAGTGTCCACACCAGGGAGCATAAAACTCTAATAGCACTGCAAAATGAAACAGGCCCTGACATAATATGCGATTCAAGGAGTATTACACTGTAGCCAGGAGGAATAAAACCGTTGCAAGTATGACTAAAGACACAGAGCATAAGCATACAAGAATCAATTTTTACAAGGTTGCTGAATTCAAACCAATTCACCAACAAAAAAGCAAACACCAATATCTATGGCCAGTTCATCACGTCATACTAGAGGAAGAGAGAAGCAAAAACTGTAATGCAGGTTAAAGATCTTAGTGCCACAGGAATGAATATAGGACATGGAAACAACAGAGAGAAAAAACCCTACATGTGTAGGAGATTGGTGAGGACATAGCAATATAAACATATTTCTTCATGAGTGTGTGTTAACATACGGTACACATTTGTTTTCAGTTAAGTATCCTCACTGGCTATTGCAGTACTTGGAAGACAAATCTCAACTATTATCGACAACTAAATACTGCTAAGTGTTATGTATCCATCTTCTTATGATTTCACTTTTCACTATCTATCAAAAGTTGTGAAATGGATGTTTCGCTTGTTGTGCATCGTGCATCTAAGCGGATTTCAGTTGTAAAAACTTCACGCATATATGGCCATGTTTGACACAATTCTAGGAGCGTCAGGTCCAACATGGGTGGTAAAGTCCATCCAAAAAGTGTGTGCACTTTATGCTTACACATTTCTGCACCCTTTACAATCAGCACAAGATAGTCAATAAATTTTTTGTTGTTTTTCACAGATGCTGCCATGTATAAGTAGTATAGATCATTAAAATAATCATCACATTAAGAATTTAATTCCGAAATGGTAGTTATGAGATACAATTCAAAAAATGCATTACAGAAAAATCGGAAGGAAAAAGCTAAAATGAAATCCGAGTTAGTACTTGTACTTAACAAAACAATTTTATAATAGGTGAACTAGCTAGAGCTAATACATACCATTTTTCCCAGAACTGAAAACCATGTCCTGAAGGCTGTCAGCAACAACCACCTTAACAGGTTCTGTGTTGTTCTCAGGTACAGGCTCAGACTTCTTGTATGGTGGAACTTTGCCATCCTGCAATTATGTACCATAATAGTTAGCTTCTGTGAGAAACTGCACTAGAAAATGATACACCAGAATAAAAAGAATACACTAGCATTAGAAAAGAGAAAGTTGATGACTGCATAGCCAAATATTAAAAATAAAACCAAAAAATACCTTGTACTCTTTCACCCAAGATGCAATATGGTCGGGCTCTAGATTTGGTTTGAGATACTTCTGTCCGTCATTGGTCTGGATGATGATGAGAGGCACCTGGTCGTCTTTAAGTCCAAAATACTGTTCATTCAAGCCAATGAAATGGAAAATATGCTAATTAAACATATTAAGTGATGCCAATGAAAGAGCAACAGATATATCCAGTGACTCCTACAAACGAGCCACTCATACAAACCTGGAAAGCACCTTGACTAGCCTCAACATCACCCATCAGAAAACTTAAGCCCTTTCCTTTGTCCTGCTCAGCAACTTCATGATACTTTGATTTGAAAGCATCACCAAGCTCACTGCTGAAGTTTAAAAACAACATGGCCTACAAATTCCAAACTATCTCATTAGCCTATATAATACAAAGATAAATGCAAATACATAGTCCATAAAGTGTAATACCTTTCCAATATACGTGAGTTTAAAAGAAGTGCTTCATAGCAATCAATGGGTTTTCTATTTATCTTAGATGGAGGAAATACAGGAAATATAAAAATAATTGTTCCATAAATGATCTTCTACAACTCAACTTAGATGCTAGAAGCATAGGAAATCTTTAAAAATTTAATAATGGGCAAAACAATAATTTTCAACTATTGATTATGTACACAATACAACTAATAAACTAAGGCAAAGATTGCAAAACGTTTATTCACCTTTGCATTAGGACTGTCAAAGAATTTGACAACGAAAGGATGGTTGCTAGGGTCATTGTTAAAGAGAGTAACAATTGGAATACTTCCTTCTTCAACAAACTTCTCTAAAGCATCAACATCAAAATCCTGCATACATGTCCAGTCTTAGATTAGATAACTGCATATATTAGTTACGAGTTATCTCCAACCAAAACGAGAGGTCAAAGGAAGAGAGGGGGGGAGAGAGAGAGAGAACTCATTATTAGGAACCAGATAGATGATATCTAGCCAGACTCATGAAACTACCAATACCTGAAAGTCTACAAAGAGCTCATCAAATGGCTTGAACAGCCTAACAATAGGCCCAGACACAGACGAATCCCCTCGTGGCAGAAGTTTTGCATCCAATGTATGACCAAACTCATAGTCGGAACGCAATTTCTCAGCAAGAGCGGTAAAATTCTCAAACTTCTCACCGGATAATGCTGGGAATATTCCCACCTATAAGAAAGCAAAAAGAGGTCATTACTATAATTGCACAAAAATATGGATGAAAACCAGGAAAAAAAAAAGTATAATAACTTACAACAACAATCTTTTTGTCATCAACAAGGCCATTAGCATCTTCAGCAGATTTTAACTCAACGGATGCAGGACCACTTTGTTTTTTCAAGTAAGAAACAATACCATCCGCATCACGAGGACCTTTGTAATCTTGAATATTCTTCCCTCCATTTCTGAAGATCTTAAGGGTGGGGAAACCTTGAACCTCATATTCACTTGCAAGAACTTTGTTTTTCTCTTCATTGGCATCTACCTTTGCCAGAATAACAGGAGGATCATGACCACTCAATGTAGATGCAGCTTTCTCATACTACAAGACATTAAAAATGTTGTTAGCTAAGAAACAATACATATTAACTTTAATTACTATCTTCAGATTGTTTCAAATCAAACACTTGAAATTAAAAAATTTCTATTACCTCGGGAGCAAGTTTCTTGCAGTGACCACACCTGTTACAAAATATAGAAAGTTATCTAAGTACCAACAAGATTTATCCATTTCAAGCTCAGAGTGAGTGTTATAAGATATCGAAATTTCACATTAAATCATCACATCTACCAGGAAATGAACACTAAAATTGCCACCAAGAAATTCATGCACTTACAATGCCATTGCTTGTTGCCTTCATGGCAAAGGAAGATTTTCCTCGATATTGATTATCTATGCGCTACACGCATGTATTATGTTTCTCACATAGTCGGAGATTTTTTCTTTCTTGTTTGGTTGGGGAGGGAGTGGAGAGAAGTATGGTGCGTATGTTCTGAAGGAATACCTTCCATGGATTTTAAGAAAAAAATCCAAATTTACAGAGGGAATAAGGAAATAAATGCATGCTTTGTTCTTCCTACAATGAAAATGGGATAACTTATCTGAATTATTCCAACAAAGAGGTAGAAGGACAACAGACAGGGCGCCTCGCTGCTGGCTTGTGATAATAAGGAAGGTGCAATATTTTTATACAGTAATATACAAATTTTCAACAATGAATATGTATTATTGAAGATAAAACGGGTACGTAAAGAATCAAATGGCACGCCTTTTGGAGCTCTAAAATTTAAAATGGGCAACTCTAAGATCCATCATCCTAGACTTAAAAATAACTCAAATTACTCATAACATAAGACACCTTCCCATTTTGTGCCATGAACATGGTTTTATGCATCGGCAGCTCCAACACAAATTATGCTGGTCAATCACTGTTGGTAAGTAATAATTTCAGAAAATACATATAGTTAATACCAAAGTGAACTCTTTTTTTTTTTTCGGATTGCATTATCTCTCCTTTTTTCCCAATTTTCTGCCAGAATAATAATAGTAATCCCCACATCAAAATTGCTACAAGTACTATTTGAAGGTAAATCATTCAGGTCAAAAACCGAATCAAGTTAGAATTAAGAATTATTTCATTCATTTGAACTGTAAAGAGCGCTGAAAGTGCCAGAAGAAGTTAAGAGAATGTCTATAAGGAAAGTGAGAAACAAATGACCATAGACTTAATGGAGGATATAGCTACAGACAGGGCCAAAAAAAAAACTACAGTAACTGTCGTTCTTAGCAGAGTTAAACTACACTACAAATAGCAATAGAATCTGAATTTTACCATGGAGCGTAGAACTCGACCACAACGAAGTTGTGCTGCTTAACAGTTTCAGAGAAATTGGAATGATCTAAAGTGAGTACGAACTCCTTCGATTGGGTCTCTTCACTTTCAGAAGCAAAAACTGAACCGGTCAAAGCGAAACTGAAAATAACCAAGAACAACCCTACGCAAATCCCAGACCCCATTGTTCAGCTCCCTCTCCCTCCCTCTCTCTCTCCCCAATTATGCCTCCGTTGCTTTGATTCCTCTCTCTCTCACACTTGAGAGATTTGTATACGGACGAGTAGTTGAAAAATGAGAGGACATAGGGTAGAGTGTCTTAGAGGATCATTTTTTACCCTCGCGAGTAGATAAAACTTCTGAACTCGCTCTATTACGTCAAATGTAAACGTGGCAGCATTCTATTAGTTGGCGACAGTAACGTTCATGGAATAAAAGCCATCTGTTTGACTAATGAAACAGCTGATGGCGCACGTAGATCTTCCAATAGAAATTGTCACGTCATAGATGCGCGGCATTAGTCCGAGGAGAGCGGCTCCTCTACGCTAAGGAAGAAACCACATGACATGACATGCGATTAAGTGGAACGGTGTCGTTTGGTTACTTTATGTAATTTGTTTTTTAAATAGTTCATACCAAAAACGACGTCGTTTTTGGTCCCTGAAATTTCAGATCTGCACCCCTCTTTTTTGTTAGACTTCAACAGCAAAGCCTTGCGTGGTGCAGCAGATCTGGGCGGCTTCAGGCAACTCCGACGACCTCAGCCAGCTCCGACTTCAGGCAGCTCCGACTAGAGGCAACGTATGTTCTCTCTCTATTAACAATTGCTATATATATTGTCTCACAACTCAAGTTTAATTCTATGAGCATTTGATGTTGAAATTAGAGATGCTTTCACGAAGAAAACTGGTGATAAATTTGACATTCTTCACATTATAGTTGGAGCACACAAGCTAGTTGCTATCTCATCTCTGTCTCTCCTTCTCCCCTCCCTTTCTCATTTCTCTCTGTCTCCCTCTTTCTCCTTCTAGCAAATCTCTCACACACACCTCCCCGCCCTCCACCTGTTTGAGAAAATGCCAGAAAGGATTTGGTAAACTTAATTGCTGTTCATAGGCACCTAAAGAAACAAGACAATGAATGTGAATGTAGAAAGTATTATTCGTTTTTGGGATTTGCTTGAAATCTGTATATTCTATTATGAAGTTAGGCCATTGGTTTCAATACATTTAGTGTTGAATTTAACACTTGATTCAGTTTAGATAAAGAGGTCAAGAGTATTTTCCTTCAACCCATCTACCTGATATATGATGAAACTTTTATTGATCAGAAAACCCGGCATACATGCATCCATGTGTAAAGTTATGTAGATTTATATTGAGGCCTATGAATCATGATTCAAGAGAATCTCAAACTGTATGTCAAGATGGTTTATATGGTCTGTTGGGCGCCATTAGAATTTTTAATTGGGTTTGAAGATGTCAGGCAATGAATCAGTTAGAGCATCATGACCTATTTATGTGTACAGATAGTTTGATAATGGGAAAGATTGGTACTGCATTTCTGGAAGGGACTTGTATATTTCAGGTCATGGTATTTTTGAGTTGAGAAGTTTGAATCTTGTCCTCCTTTTTTGGTATCCAGGAGTCCCTTTGCCTGCATTGCTTCAAGTATCTGTTTAAGAGCTCTGAGATCCTTGCCAGATTGTGTGAATTCAAGATCTTTTAATCTTTTCTCAATCTCACTGTAAACAGAAGGGAAAGGGTTAGGTGCCCTTGCTGGAGCTTTCAGATGTCTGGAAGCTGGCTTTGGAGGACCCCGAGTCCCATCAAGCTGCCTCATGGTGCTGGTTCAATTGGGAATCTTGACATGGGTTTCATGACAGAATCCGGATTTTTCCAACGAGGAGAAGTTGGTTCCTTCCACAGGTTCTTCGAGGAAGCAGATATTTGGATTGGTCTGCACGGATCACTTGTTTTTGAAGACATTGGGTAGTGATCAGAATGCTCCAATGCAGGTTTTTGCTGAACCAATCTTACTGTCGGTGGTTGAGGCAGACTCTGGCAATGCTTCCAAGCCCATTAACTTTGCTACAACACTGGGAGATCGTGCCTGGGTTCCTGATGTTTGCTGTGAACTTGAAACCTTGCCACTAGAATTGACTTCCTCTGAATTTCTCGAAAGAAAGCTAGATTTTGATTCCGAATTAAAACTCCTCATTGAATTTTGTCTACTGTCCAAAGAAAGTCTTGGTAACTCTTTAAGCTTTAGAGTGAATTTGTATCCGTCCCGTGATTCAAAAACGATGTCGTTTTTGGTAGAACTGTTTAAAAAAAAGATTACATAAAGCATCCAAACGGCACTGTACCACTTAACCGCATGTAATGCGGTTTCTTCCTTACCGTGGAGAAGCCGCTCCCTAGTCCGCGTACAGATGACGTAGTATATTTTTTGCATTGGGTTATGATTGAATCATCACATGGTCAGTCATGCATAGGAGACAAAAACGGTCTTCTTATAATTTTTATTTTTTTTTTGTCAAAATTTCTTATAATCTCAAGATCCGAAATCCGTGATCCGATGCAAAAAGAGATCATTTAGGTAATAGTTTCAGAATTTAAATAATATTTTCAGAGATTTATATAATATTCATGATCCAAATAGCATTACTCTTTTTGTTATCGTATCAAAAAATTAAAAATTATCCGTACCTGAAGGCATTATATTATTTACAAAAAAAATAAAGTATGTCAAAAAGAGATATTGAGTGGACTTGTAATGACACTTTTTAAGAAATTAAACATTAAAAATAGTACATGCTTAACAAAACAAAATATTACAAACATCTTGGCAGCAGATTTTGATTCGTATGGTTCAAAGCACACATCAAATTATAAAAAAAATACAAAAAATCCAAATTTGAAACCAAGCAGATTACTTTGTCTGTCAAATGATACCAAAATAGAAAAAATGGAAAGAAAAACATGTTGTGAAAGGGAATGAAAATTTATGCAATCTAAAAAATTAAACTTCAAGAAAATTAATTTCTCAAAGAATCCACAAATACCTTTTTAATAAAAAAAAAATTGTCATGAAATGTAAAGGATAAACCACAGATGAGCATATAAGAAAAAGCCGATAAATAGAAAGTAAAAGTAAGCTTTTGTGGTTAAAAAAATAAAAAATCCAATTGACTTGTACACATTTTCAGGAATCAAGATTAATTAAGAAAATTCAAAAACACTAAGAAAGGAACACAATACAAAATAGCAACGAAAGGGGAAAAATGAAAATCTTACCTACTAAACAGGTAAGTACAATGTTCTAGAAATGAAACAATCTTACTAATTTTTAATTATAAGAACATAGCCTATAATTTTACATTTCATTACATTTCCATTTCAAAATATTTTTTAAAGCAAAGTTTTGAAAAGGAAAGTAATTAAGTTACTCAACACCTTTGAAATCCAAGAATCTTACGCTGCGTTTGGTACGCGATAATGTTTTTCAGTAGGAATATAATGAGTTTAAGAATTGAATGAACTTGGAAATGAAATGAAATGCGCGTTACCATTTCAATATTTGGTAGATGTTTAAGATTAAGTGCTGGAATGAAATGTTTATTCCATTCTTATGTTTGGATAAAAAAAAAAATTTATTGGAATATAATCAACTTTAAACCAAAATATCTATAGTGAATAAAAATAATTAATAACAATTTTTTTTTATAATTGTGATTGCCTTTAAAAGTTGTGTAAAAAAATTTATAATTACAAAAAAAATGAGAATCCATTGAAAAAAATTAAACCCCTATATATTTTAAAAAATTAAAAAACAAATTCCTTCAAAAATAAGTTCACAAAAAGAAATTAAAATAAAAACTATTCAAAATTGATCATTCATTTCAAATGAACAACTATAGTTCTTTATGAATTCAATAGAGCACGTGTGCCAACCCAAAAAGAAAACTATCAAGACAATTAGAAATCTCATCTGAACATGTAGGTTGAACCAAAAAATAAATCGATGAAAAACAACAGTATACAGAAAACAAAAACATGTTGAATAAAAACAAAAATTATTAAATTCTATTCATTTCATCTCAATAGCATTGGAGTTAGAATTCCAAGAAACAAAATCATTCTCAAATATAGGTACAAAAAATTACACTCTCTGTGTACTTGTTCTCCACTCGTCAAACATTTTATTTGTAAAATTCAATTTAAATGTTGACCACTTATTGGATGTTTCAACCGTGGTAATACGATCATCATGTGCATCATTTTCTACTACAAGACTTGTTACTTCTACCTCTACCTCGATTAGGTCTATTGACATCTGATCTCTAATGTAGTTGTGAAGCAAAAAATAAGCTATTATTATACAGTTCTGTATTTTGATGGGGTAGAAAGATGGGCTTTTTAAAATAGTCCAATGCTTTTTCAGTAGCCCAAAACATCTTTTAATTACATTTCTAGCAGAAGAATGATTCATTTTAAAGAACTCTTCAGGTGTCCTAGGTTGGTGACCATCTCTCCATTTTTTTAAATGATACATTTGACCTCTAAATGGGGCAAAAAATCCCTCACTGTTGGAATCCCCCATCCACAAGGTAGTAGGTACCACGATTCACCACCAACCCATTCTTTCTAATCATGGTATTTCTAAGCACCCTACCATCTGCCACTGACTCTTCCCAACCAGGTAATACATAAATGAAGCTCATGTCTTGTTAGCATACTCCTAAGACATTAGTAGCAATATCACATGTCCGGGATCGATACATAGGCTTGTCCTCAGTTGGCACATGAAAACTTATATATGTCTCATCTAAGACTCCAATACAACCTTAAAAATTCAAAAATCAAGTAGAAATCATATTTTCATATAGGCTCAAATGCGTGAACATAAAATTAATTAGACAAGGTTAATTACCTTGAACCACTTCCATTTCTCATCTGTGGAATCTTCTACTACTGACACAGGAGTCTTAAGCAAATGGCCTTGCAATCTTATCACCGCATTCAATATAGTCTAAAAGTGCTTGCTAATAGTCTCACTAGACCTCTTAAATCGTTGTTTTATAACTCGATTTTTCACGTGATGTGCAAGGATATGCAAGAAAATAGTCACTTGCTCATCAATCTCCATGTTTTGGGTATGTTTTAACTTTCCTATTGTCTCAAGCATGGAACATAACCTAATGAATGATTGTCTATTCATCCTAAGTTGAGAAACACATACATCATCACTCACATAAAGATAGTCATAGACAATAGTCCTCCTTGCAAAGAAGTCATTGTGATACCTTTGACCTCTTAATGATTTTTTTCTCATATAGTAAAGGATGATAGTAGACATCATATGGAAAAAATAATTGACTAAATGCATGATTTTGGTCCAGAACACAAATAATGCAATCAATTTCTTCTTCCTTATCATTTTCCTTCTTGCTAGACTTAAACGAGTCATAACTGTCACAAAATTACAAAAAAAAAAAATCAATATTTGGGATATCATAAACAAAGCCAAAAAATTAGATTTCCAAATTGCAGATCCAAAATTGTTCAAAGTGGTACGTGAAAACAAAATTTTCTATTAGTAAAAGGGGGGAATTCAATTATGTGTTAAACTTTAGGCCACCCACTGATATGAATTTCATAGGTATTTTTCATAGTATCATGTATTCAATCCTCTTTGTCTTTATTGAATTGTTTATAGTTGGTTGTGCATAGAATTGCTTGTCATGTATGCATTTTTTGAAATGCAATGACCGGTAAAAGCCCTTCTGTGAAATTGGGATTGATATCTTTTATGATGAAAGTTAATCAACCACTTATGTGCATATAATCACTCACAAAACAAGCAATTATTGACAGAGCAATGGTTTCACCAAAAAAGCCTTGCAATAAACTTGTTGGCTTTCATTCAAACCGGTTGTTATTGTTTCATTGAGCTGTTGGTAGTGATGTTAAAGGAATAAAAATGAAGGGTTTTTACTCTAATGATGTGGGGCAAATGAAAGTACATAAGCTAGTCCAAAACCTAAGTCTCAACAGACCTAACTTATTTTGCTCTAAAGCTCATAAAATCAACCTATTTTAGGTCCCCCAAAGTATATCTGTCTACTTTTGTTTATGATGAATTGGATTTCAACTAAAACAAGCAAATGACAACTTTTCTTATATATCAACATCAGACTGAATCATGTTCGATTTTTTAGGTCGAAATAAGGTCAAAAACAAAATTTGGCTATAAAAAAAACCTCTAACGTGGTTTACCATCAACGATCAAGTGAGTTGTACGCTTGAAATGAAGGCTAAGAATGAATAAAATGACTCAGATAATTTGACTTTTTACCCACAGTTTCATTTTGACAGATGAAGATGACAAACAAAATCTAGTTGAGGTGATTAAAGCAAAAGATGAATTCTCTTCCTATGGCCCAGATATAAAATTGGTGCCACTTTTTTACAATTATAAAAGCAAAAAAGGCACTTTAAAAAATTCTAACCTGTGTAGTAGACCATAGATTAATCTCTCTCATAATATCCTTACTGGATTACAAGTAGGCCAATATTATCCTATATTGTTTAATTTTCTAAAGTTAGGCTAGAGTTAGTAGGGCATTCATGAAAATAAAAGGAGGATTGGAGGAGGATAAGACCATGAAAAGTTGTGAGATTTCTAGGAAGGAAATAACATGGAATCTAAAGAGATGATATTTCTTCTACTTGTCTTACTCTACTTCATTTGCCCTGCATCATAATTTCCTCTTCCAACTACAATACAAGGGTTTGTTAAAGGAACAAAAATCAAGTGCAATAATGACAGTGGTCAAGAATGCCATGATCAAGAATTCTTGCCATTATGTAATTACAAAACAATTCAATCAAAAACTAACCCAACTCAATTTTTCCCAATTCAATTCCATTCCACCCATAAAAACCAATTCAAACCCAATGATTAATCCAATTCAAATCTGAGCATAGAGT